ACTTGATGGAGTGGACCGATATTGTCCATTTTCACACCTGACCTAGCACTGATGCAAATATTAGGAATTGCAAAATTTGGAGCAAAGTCGGATTTTCCCTTCTCTTTCTGTGCAAAGAATAATTTTTTTGCAAATTTCGACCTTTTGTGGGGAGGTACCAGAAGGAGTGGACCGATATTGCTCATCTTAACACCTGACCTTGGGTTAATATAAATATTGGGATGTGTAAAATTTGAAGACAATCGGACTTTTAAATCACATTTTATGAGAATTCTAATTATTCAAAATTTTGACCATTTGTGGGGGAGGTACTTGATGGAGTGGACCGCTATTGTCCATTTTCACACCTGACCTAGCACTGATGCAAATATTAGGATTTGCAAAATTTGGAGCAAAATCGGATTTTCCCTTCTCTTTCTGTGCAAAGAATAAATTTTTTGCAAATTTCGACCTTTTGTGGGGGAGGTACCAGAAGGAGTGGACCGATATTGTCCATCTTCGAACTCGATCTAAGTTTGACAAAAATATTACGGTGTACCAACTTTGGGCCAAATCGGATACTCCCTTCGAGAGTTATCGTGCGTACCAGCCAGCCAGACAGACAGACGGACGGACATCGCTAGATCGACTCCAAATGTTCTGAAACGGATTTGGTCCAAAGAGACCTAGGGTCTAAAACCGTTATTTCGACTAGGCACGTTTTGACCATATCAAATGATATTCCATATGGCTGAGGGCATAAAAAGCTGTAAGTTCTGCCGGGCCGAACTTTGAATACCCTCCACCATTTGGTACAAATTTAACAATTTTCAAAAAAAAAAAATCCGTTAAAAATTCTGTTAAAATTTTGAAAATACCTAATACAGCCGTATGTTAGAGTCTATGCAACGACATGGACCTACATAGTCAACTTTTGTCACAAGCTATTACAATATTCAAATGCGAAACTTGAAAAAAAAAATATTTTTATAATGTAGCTAAAATCATCAGAATACCGAATATAGGGAGGTACCATGGTGGTTATAAAACGTGGATCTGCACAGAAAATTTTCTGTCATAGGCTGTAACATCCATTACGAACTTCAAATACAAAATTTGAAACATTTCCGGTAAATATAATGTCGCTAAAATCATCAAAATACCGAATATAGGGGGAACCGTTATATGGGGGCTATACGAAGAAGTGAACCTACATGACCCATTTTCTGTTTTGTGCTGTAGCATCTATTACCAACTTTAAATATTAATTACCGCATATCGGTAGGTACCGTTATATGGGGGCTATACGAAGACGTCGACCTACATGGCCCATTTTCAATACCACAAAATTTTATCAATCTACTTCATTTCGTTTGGAAGCTAGAGTGATTTCCACAGACGGACGGCATAGAATTTTCTGCTGATCAAGAATATATATACTTTGTGGGGTCTAAAATGTATATTTCGAGGTGTTACAAACGGAATGACAAACTTAATATACCCTCCATACTATAGTGAAGGGTATAAAAATTGTTTGCAGCGGCGAGTGCTAAGGCAGCAAACAAACATATATGCATTGCCTGACTCCAAGTTAGTTCATATTTTAATCAAAATATGTACTTAAATTTGTATATTTTAGATTTTTAAAATACTTCGGAATTAACAAGAACTGCTTTCAGCATGTGCTAAAAGAAATTTCGACAAAGTTGCATGTAGGTGCCGGTCATTGGCTCGTAAGCCTGAAATTAAATTGACTGGCTTAACTCTAGTTTAGTAAAACTTCTTCAATTTTTCCCTGATTCAATATCTACCCTGATTCAGAGAAACTATTTTTTGGGGGGATGGACCCGGAATCCCAGTTTTTTGACCCGAAAGTGCGGGTTCAAGACCCACTTATCCAATATATACAATATCGGTATCGCTTATGAAAATAAAATTGAAATTTGTATAGCTGACACTTTTAACTTGCTACAAATTATGCTCTCTGGACCCAGAAATGTTATTAGTTTGGGTATGTATCATTTTGTTACAACCGGTGTTTATTATGTCAATGGAAAACCGCAAGTGTGTGTCTTCGAATGGCTTTGCCGGTATGCTGGCGTTTTGCGCTGCCACGGCTCGTCGGAAGAGGTGTGGTTCTTGCCACTCTAAGTCTGATTCCAACTGAATGAGTTTATTTGTGTGGTGGAGAACCTAGAATATGTCAAAAAAAAAAAAAAAAAAAAAAAAAAAAAAAAAAAAAAAAAAAAAAAAAAAAAAAATATATATGACCGTAACATTTACTTTAAACTCAACTTTAACATTTTTATAACCTCCACCTTGGAAAGGAGGGTATATTAACTTTGTCATTCCATTTGTAACATCCTTAAATATTCGTCGTAGACCCCATTCATATTCATAATCAGCATAAAATTCTAAGACGTTTTAACGATGTCCGTCTGTCTGTCTCTCTGTCCGTCTGCCCGTCTGTCTGTTGAAATCACGATACAGCCCACATAATTTGACGTAGAGCGCCAAAATTTAGCAGAGCAATTGGTATTGTGTCTAGGATGGTTGGTATTGAAAATGAGATATATCGGTCCGTTCCGTTCTGGTATAGTCCCCATATAACGGTACCTCCCGATATTCGGTATTTTGATGATTTATGCCACATTTTTCACGGATTTGTCTGAAAATTGGTATTTGTAGGTCATAACAGGTCCCTGTATATGTGGCAAAACATTGCATGTGTAGGTCCACGTTTTGGTATAACCCCCATATAAAGGTATCTCCCGATATTCGGTATTTTGATTATTTTTGCAACATTTTTTTACTGATTTGTCTAAAAATTGGTATTTGTGGGTCCTAATGGGTCCTAGTTCGTGTGGCGAGTCTTTGTAATTTTAGGTCCACGTTTTGGTATAGCCCCCATATAAAGGTACCTCCCGATATTCGGCATTTTGATTATTTTTGCCACATTTTTTCACGGATTTGTCTAAAACTTGGTATTTGTTGGTCATAATGAGTTCCAGCTCCGGTGGCGAAACATTGCATGTATGGGTCCATGATTTGGTATAGCCCCCATAAAACGGTACCTCCCGATATTCGGTAATTTGATGATTTTTGCCAAATTTTTTCACGTATTTGTCTGAAAATTGATATTTGTAGGTCATAATTTATTCTAGCTCCGTTGGCGAAACATTGCATGTGTAGGTCCACGTTTTGGTATAGGCCCCATATAACGATGCCTCTCGATATTCGGCATTTTAATGGTTTTGCCACATTTCTTCTAATGTTTCCTTTACCCTAAGGTGGAGGGTATTAAAAGTTTGGCCCGGCCGAACTTAATGCTTTTTTATTATTTATCCAAATATCTTCCTAATTCGAATCAGGTTTCCCATAGCGGCTACGCGAACTAAACTTTTCTAAAATTAACAGATGTTGTAAATAGCCGGCTTATGTGACCATGTTACCACTTGTTGGATAGGTATAAGCTTTTATAAGCTTTCAACATATACCTGTATATTCAGGTCTAGCTCGGGTCTTGAACCTGGACTTTCGAGTCAAAAATCTGTTGAGTCACAGTAATAGTTCCCGGAATCAAATCGAAGAGATTTTTATTAAACTAGAGTGGTTTCGATTGGCCAAAGCATTGAGGTTTTAAGGTCTAGGATCTTAGTAGCCTGGTGTCGGAAATGACTTCAATATTTCCAAATTGTTTTGCTGTTGTTATTTTCATGGTCAAATACAAAGTGGTTAAAATATCAACGTCGACCAAAAAATGTAATGTCGTCACAATTTTTTACGACGACAGATATTCACTAAAAACGACTTCATATCGATTGTTGTATCGACAATGATAAAAGGAATCATTCAATGCTATCGACAAAAAACGACAATCCTAATACCGTTATTGTCGCCTCGACTTCATTTTGCGGCGGCGACGACAACCGTAATGGGGCCGAATTTGGTCCAAATCTGGCACCTTGTAATCTTTACATCAGACTTCAGTCAAATATGAAATGGACAATATTGGCCAAACCTTTCAGAACCTCCCCCATAAAGAAAAAAAAATTTAATAATCATAACAAAAGTCAATAAGTATGTAAACAAACAGACATTTTCTGAGGGTTTACCTCGGTCCTCAAACCCGACATATACTTTATAATTTGTTTTTGGTTTATTGGAATTAAATTTCCATAGAGCAGTAATTCTTTACTGTCATTTACCCTCTAAAGATTTAATATACTAGCTATTCTCCATTAGTAGTGCAATACAAGCAACATGTATATCTATGTTTGTACTACATTACATAAATATGTTCATAGTTCCCTCTTTTCAGCAAAAATGTTTGACCCCCCCCCCCCCAACACACCAGATTACAAAACAATTTAATTTATCCATATCCATATACACAGCCATAGCCGTATATGTGAATATGTGATGTGACATTATTTGTTGTTTCTATGGCCAGATGTATCGTTACAATTTCGGTTTTGATTGTTTGCATTTCCGTGAACACCGGGTACACTGAATTTATTCAGCAATACTTGATGTTTACTTTCATCTACATTTTATTTGCCAAAGGAAAATAGACGCAGAAACAGACGAAGAAGGGATGTCGGAAGGCCTCGATTTATTCTCCACGTTCTATCCTTACAAAACAAACAAATAAAAAAAATCAAGTGAGAAGCCCTTGCTTGTGGTCTGTGTCATGCCGTTTGAATATGGCATGTTAAACCGTTAACACAGTGGATTTGTTTCATGTTCAGACCATATATTTTGTTGGTATTTTTTTGTTTTTCTTTGGGGGGGCGGGGGGGGGGGGGGGTTTCTTTCTTGTTAATATTGAAAAGTTGCCAAATAGTTCGTTCCCATAAAACGCCAAGGAGGAGTTACTGCAAGGCACTATTGTATTTGCATTGCTTTAACTCTTGCCAAAGATAGATTTGTCTGTAAGCCGTTGAGCTCGTAAGACACGACCATATGTTGTTGTTGTTTTTGTAGTTTTTGATATGAAAGAAAACGGAAAATGTACTTACTGTTGTGTCACAGCAACCGGCCATATCGTAAGTAAACGTTTGTACAAAATATATTTAAATTTCCACTGCACTTCCCGGTAGTGGTGATATGAGAATTTCTACGTGTCTCTGTTGATTTCTTGAGCACCACTGGATGTGGCTTAAATATAGTTTTCTGTTGGATTAAAACGCTGTAAAGAAAGCCAAAAAATGCGAAGTTTATTTTAAGAATAGAATAGAGAATAAAATATTTGTGATTTTTTTGAAAAGTCCGTAATTGTTTCTATATTTAATCCTTTGTCCTTGAAAATAAATTCTTAAAACAGAATCGTCAATTGTAGTCAGGATCTAGAAAAAACCAAGCAGCAGATGAAAATGAGTAAAAATTACATTACGTTCAGACCGAGCTCTATTGCTGGGATCATTAGGATCCAGTAAGGAAAAGACCAAAGTCGGACAGAACCGACTTTGCGATAACTTACACAACTCTGGTTATATGCAGGTGAAAACAAGTGCAATCAATTAACCAGTACAGAAAGTCTTAAAGTCGGGCGGGGCCGACTTTATGATACCCTACCCTACACCACTTTGCTAATTTAATAGAGCTGCGCATAACAACTAAAAGTTTTTATGGGAGAATTCAATCATACACGCTATGATTATAATTATAATTTAAAGTTCAAAAGACAAAATGTGCTTTTAAATTCGGAATTGTATTGCCCATTTGGTGCACAATTAATTTGAAATCGGATAAAGATGTATATGGGAGCTATATCCAAATCGGAACCGATCTCGATAAAATTTGGCAAATATATTTTTGAGCTGTATTTGATATATTTCCCTGAATATCGTTGCTACGGAGTGCATGTTACGGCTGTGGGTAACAAATATGACAAATCGGATGATCGGCATACTAGCTTCTAGACTCATTTCGGTTGGATGTGCCAAATTTCATCCAATTTGGGCAAAAATTAGACGTTCAGTGCACAATCAATGGTAAATCGGACGAAGTTATATATGGGAGCTATATCCAAATCTGAACCGATCTCGATAAAATTTAGCAAATGTATTTCTGAGCTGTATTTGATATATTTCCCCAAATATTGATGTTGTTGAGTGCATATTAGGGCTGCGGAGGACAAAAATAACAAATCGGATGAAAAATATATATGGGAGCTATAGCTATATCTGAACCGGTTTCGATCAAATTTGGCATACTTATTTCCAGGTCCAATCTGATCGTACGTGCAAAATTTCATACCATTCGGACTGATATTACACGTTTGGTGCACAATAAAAAGCAAATCGGACGAAGATATATATGGAAGCTATATCTAAATTTTGACCGATTATCTCCAATTTCAATAAGGAAAATTTCATCTGGATAGGACAATAAATACGAACTGTACTTTGTTTACAAAAATATGTGGACAGATGGACATGCATAAATCGACTCAGAATGTGATTCTATGCAGATCACCAAAAGGAACTATGGGGCTATCTCCTTTTTCCTTTTGCCTGTTACAAACAAATGCACAAAGACATAATACCCTGACCACCTTGTGGTGTAGCGTATAAAAATGACGTCTCGTTCAGATGGTGACCCTTCTTATATATATGGACTAGCTGAACCCTGTGCGCTTCGCTACCCCTTTTGATTTTATATGCGATCAAAATTTTTATACGAAAATTTGTTTAAAAAAAAAAAAACAAATTTAAAACTTAAAAAAAATAATTATTGTAATACTTAAGTGCGTAAATGAACAAATAGCTCGGTCCGCCAACGCGTGAACATGCCAGGAACAGCTGCCGATGAGAAAAGCAGGAACATACCAAATTTTGTCCGCATACACGAAGAGTTTGTCCTTCGGGCCTATTAATTTCATAGTAAATGCCAAGCGTGCAGGAAACTGCAATCTTTTGGAGTTGAGTGGCATTTCTGTTGGAATTAGAGAATTCGAGGTAGCAACATACTTCCCCGTAATAATCGTATCCTCAAATAAATTGTTATGTAGTTTTTATATGGAGGGTTTTTCTATACGGAGGGTTTCTTTATGGAGGGTATATTAAGTTTGTCACTCCGTTTGTAACACCTCGAAATATACATTCTAGATCCCACAAATTAAATGTATTCTTGATCAGCATAAATTTCGATTTAGCGATGTCCGTCAGTCTGTGGAAATCACTCTAGCTTCCGAACAAATAGAAGTAGATTGATAAAACTTTACGCAAATGTATATTATGTCTGCAGGACTTTTGGTATTGAAAATGGACCAGGTATGTTCATGTTTTGGTACAGCCCCCATATAAGGGTATCTCCCGATAGTTGGTATTTCGATTATTTTAGCAGCATTATTCACCGAATTGTGACAAATTTGGAATTTGAAGTTCGTAATTGATACCACAGTCTATGACAGAAGCCTCAATATAAGCGTACCTCCCGCAATGGATACTTCAGCATAAGACAGAAATTTGTATGTGCAGGTCCATTTCTTCGTATAGCCCCCACATATCGGTACCTCCCGATATTCGATATTTTGATGACTTTAACGACATTATTCACCGGAATTGTTTCAAATTTTGCATTTGATGTTCGTAATGGATACTACAGCCTAAGACAGAAAATCGTTTGTGCAGGTCCACGTCGTCGTATAGACCCTAATATAATGGCTACATTTAGTATTTTTAAGATTTTAACACAATTTTTAACGGATTTTTTTTTTTTTTTTGAAGTTGCCGATTTTGTTCCAAATGGTAGAGGGCGTTCAACGTTAGGTTTGGCCGAACTTACAGGTTTTTTTGTTTGTTTACTGTATGCCTTATACCATTGCAAAGGCGTTGTGGGTCAATGCTTCTTAATAAAATCATATCCCAATTTGAAACGATTTCAATATAATTTGACAAATTTATTTTTGTTCCAAATTAAGTTACTCCTGCCGGATTAAATTGGAATCGGATATACGTATCGTTTTTGGTGCATCAAATACTTTAAATGGGAGCTATATCCAAATCTGAACCGATTCCCATATAATTAAGAAAACAAATTTGTTAGCCAAAATCCATCACGCATTTCAAATTTCATTAAAATCGAACATAATATCGTGTTTGGGGCATCAAAAAAAACTAAATCGGTCGAAAATATATATGGGAGCTATATCCAAATCTGTACCGATTTTTGTATAATTTGGCAAACAAATTTTTTAGACAAATTCCATCATACATTTCAAATTTCTTTGAAATGTGGGGTACATAGCGTGTTTAATGCATCAAATCCATGAAATCGGGCGAAGATATATATATATATATCCAAATCTGAACTGATTTCCATAAAATTTGGCAAATATATTTTCTATTCAAATCCCATCACTTATTTCAAATCGGGAGACTGTATCTGTAATCGATCAATAGACATGAGCATATAAAATGTAAATTTTTGGGAGGTACCTCCGAATCTGATGCTATATCTCCAGTTCCAAGTGGAATTTCAAAACTTTGTATTGCCTATGTTACTTTCAGGCGATGTGGTAGTTTATTTGGAAATTTTCAAGAAAATCTATTCAGCGGTTTTCGAGTCCATAAATTACAAACAAACAAACAAACATACAAACATTTTCCTTTTTTTATAGATATAGATATGGGTTAATGAATCTGAACAGATTTTAACATAACATAACATTTGGTGGACCTGACACATTCAATTGGACGAAGAAAGTTATATCTAAATCCGATTAAAACCAAATTCGTTGGAGTTCGTTGTTCGACCAAACAAATGAATTGTGTAAAACTTCATCTTATTGGGACAACAAATGCGACCTGTACTTGAACAGACGGAAAGGACATTATGATGTCGAAAAAATCTCTTCTTGTGATACTTATCTTCGGATTCAAGAAGGAAAACAGTTAAAAAGGGTCCAATATACCATGTATATTTAGTAGGGCTACCTGTTACAAATAAACGTTTACATTGGGAATTTTTGTGAATCAAAACCAACTATGAACCTTTTTATACCCTACACCACATAGTGGTCGGGGTATTATGTATTTGTGCATTTGTTTGTAACATGGAGAAAGAAACGAGATAGAGCCATAAATACTTTTGAGAATGCTCATAGAATCACTTTCTGAGTTCATTAATGAATGTCAGTCTGTCCTTCTGTCAATGTATTTTTGTGAAAAAAATGCAGGTCGCATTTATTATCAGATTCAGAGTAAACTTTCCAAATAATATTTGTTTGGCCCAAATAATTCTATTGGATTTGGTGAGAATCGGTTCAAATTTAGATATAGATCCCATACATATCATCAATTGATTTCGGGTTAATTGTGCACGAAATGGCCAATAACAGTCCAAATGACCTGAATTATGGCACATTCGACGACATTCATCCTAAAAATAAGTACTTTAAATTTGGTGAAAATCGATTCAGATATACCTACAGATCTCATATATATGTCTTATCCGATTTGGTGTTAAAGTCCCTCACATGCGTAATATACACTACACTAGAATAATGGTTGGTACCAGATAACTTATGGAGCTCAAAAATGTCTCTCTCAAATTTTATCGAGATCGGATTAGATTATAAAAAAAATATAGCTCCCATATATATCTTTAACCGATTTCAGGTTTTTTGTGCACCAAATGCCCAAACAAGCTGAATTTTTGCACTTCCGACGGAATTCATCGACGAACGGCATGCGGTAGAATACTATGATTTTGCATAGAAATGTCTTTTGTCCGCAGGCAAGTTCGAAACGAGTTTTATCGGTCAAAGTTTTCATATAGCACCCAAATAATTGTACCAACCCATATTCGGTATTTTGACGATTTTAGACTGTCTGTTTAAAGCAATAGTCTAAACTTTGGCATTCAGAGTTCATAGCGTGTTCTAACTCCTGTGGCAGAATATTGTCTATAGAGGTCCATGTGGTTTTAGCCACATTTTCTAACGGAATTACGTAAATTTTGGTATTTGAATTTCGTATTACTTCCTGTAGTAGAATAATTTCTAAATAGGTCAACGTTGTTATATGGACCCTATTCTTACTTTCCAAATGGTGGAAGGCTTAAAAATTTCGGCCCGTCCCAACTTAACTATTTTTATACCCTCCACCAAAAAAGGTATGGAGGGTATATTAACTTTGTCATTCCGTTTGTAACTCATCGAAATAATCATTTTAGACCCAAGAAAGTATATATATTCTTGATCAGCGTAAAATTCTAAGACGATTTAGCCCTGTCCGTCCGTCTGTCCGTCTGTTGTAATCACGCTACAGTCTAAACGAATTAAGATAGGAAGCTAAAATTTTGCACAGATCTCTCTTTTGTCTGCAGGCAGGTAAAGTTCGAAGATGGGCTATATCGCTCCACGATATCGTATAGCCCCCATGTAACGGTACCCCCCGATATTCGGTATTTTGATGATTTTACCCACATTTTTCAACGGAATTGTCTGAAAATCCACACAAGGAGTTCCTTGTGGGTACTTTATACCTCGGCAGAGAATTATCTACATAGATCCACAATATCGTATAGCCCCCATGTAACGGTACCCCCGATATTCGGTATTTTGATGATTTTACCCACATTTTTCAACGAAATTGTCTGAAAATCCACACAAGGAGTTCCTTGTGGGTACTTTATACCTCGGCAGAGAATTATCTATATAGGTCCACAATATCGTATAGCCCCCATGTAACGGTACCCCCCGATATTCGGTATTTTGATGATTTTACCCACATTTTTCAACGGAATTGTCTGAAAATCCACACAAGGAGTTCCTTGTGGGTACTTTACCGCCTCAAAATGAAGTGTCTATATAGGTCCACGATATCGTATATCCCCCATATAACTGTAACCTCCGATATTCGGTATATGATCGATGATGTTAGCCACGCTTTTCAATGGAATTGTCTTAAAATCAACACAAGTAGTTCCTTGTGAGTACTTCACCCCCTGAGAGAGAATTGTCTATACAGGTCCACGATATCGTATATCCCCCATATAACGGTGGATTTTTTTTGAAAATTTTCTAATTCGTTCCATATGGTGGAGGGTATTCAAAGTTCGACCCGGCCGAACTTACTGCTTTTTTACTTGTTTTATTTGTTATATCCTCCACCATAGTATGGAGGGTATATTAAGTTTGTCATTCCTATCGTAACACCTCGATATGAGATTAAAAAACTGCAACAAACTTCAGACTTTTCCAAAAAAAAAAAGTTATTCGTGATGGAATTCCAACATGATAGTGTGATTTTTTTACATTTGGCTAGAAAGCCACAAGTGACTATCGTTAGAGCACTCCAGCATTGAAATGTGAATAAATCTTTTGTGTCTCGTACCATCGCTCGTTACCGTGGCCCGACGTCAAGGAAGTGGACGGAAGAAAACAGCAACATCAGCAGAAATGGTTCGAAAAGTAAAGAAGCGACTTGATCGAAACCCGCGTCGCAGTGACCGAAAAATGGCTCGTGAGCTGAACATATCACAATATTCCATTCGGCAAATATTTTGAAAAACTAGCTCGGGAAATTCCCAAAAGTGCAAGAACTTACACCGCAACAGAAGGAAAAAAGACTCAAAAGAGCTAAAAAGTTGCTTGGCTGAAAGTGGTGAACCGCCGAATTTGGTTTTCTGCGATGAGAAAACATTTGTTGTCCAGCTGAAAATATGCACCTTCGGTTGGCCACCGGCCACCAGAACTCAAGCGCCGGCCTTGGTGGTGTGGGGCGCCATAATAGACGTGGCATCAGAATAAATGCCGAGTATTATCGCGAAAATATTCTGGAAAGCCTTGGGCACGCAAACATTTTGGCCGCAGACCTTGGACATTCCAACAGGACTCAGCACCATCGCACTTAGCACGTACCACTCAAAAATGCTTACAAAATGAGGTTTCTCGCTTCATTTCCAGCGCACAATGGCCACCAAAATCTCCGGATACCAATCCGTTGGACTATTGTGTCTGGAGTATTTTGGAAAGTAATGTTGTCACTAAAAAATAACAAAGTGTCGATCACCTCAAGCAAGCGCTTCGCCGGGAATGGGCCAAAATACGGCAAAGCAACATTCGGGCAGCGTGTGACGGTTTCATTGGCCGTTTTAAGGTCATAATTCGTGCCAAAATTGACTTATTCGAACAAATCTAAATTGAGTCTAAAATTTGATGCTACTTCCGATATTTTTTTGCATTCTATCAATAAAATTTAAAGATAAATGTAAAAATTATGGCGTTTGACTTTTTTGCAGTTTTTTTTTATCTCATCCTGTACATCTCACCCGGCTGGGGAAATCACTCTAGCTTCCGAACGAATTGAAGTAGGTTGATAAGAGTTTACTGAAATGTGTGTTTTTTCTTCAGGACTGTTGATATTGAAAATGGGCTATATAGGTCCACGTTTAGTTATAGCCCTAATAAAACTGTGCTTCCCTATATTCGGTATTTTGAGGATTTAAGCGACATTTTTCACCAGATCTGTTTCAAATTTCGTATTTGAAGTTCCTAATTAGTACTACAGTCTACGACAGAAAATTGCATATGCCGGTCCAGTTCTTTATATAGCTTCTAAGAAACGATCCCTCCCGATAATCTGGTATTTGGTGGTATTTTAGCTCATTATTCTCCGGAATTGTTTCAAATATCATATTTGCACAGAAAATTTCCTATACAGGACCACGTCTTCGTATAGTGCCCAAAATATCGGTAACTTCCTACAATAGATATTTAGATAAATTTAGAGACTTTATTCGCCGGAATTGTTTCAATTTTCATATTTGCAGTTCGTAACGGGTGTTTTCAGCGTTTTTATACATCACAAGGTGGTCAGGGTATTATATCTTTGTGCATTTGTTTGTAACAGGCAAAAGGAAATGAGAGATTGAGGATCTGCATAGAATCACTTTCTGAATTGATTTATGCATGTCAGTCCGTATGTCCGTCCGTCCGTCTGTCCATGTATCCTTGTGAACAAAATGCAGGTCGCATTTATTATCCGATTAAGATGAAATTTTGCACAAATCATTTGACCCAAGGACGAACCCTATTGAAATTGGAGATAATAATAATCGGTAAAAATTTAGATATAGCTCCCATATATAACTTCGTCCGATTTTCCTTTTATTGTGCACCAAACGTGTAATATCAGCGCGAATAGTATGGAATATTGCACATACAACCAAATTATGCCTGAAAATAAGTATGCCAAATTTAATCGAAATCGGTTCAGATATAGCTATAGCTCTCATATATATTGTTCATCCGATTTATTATTTTTGTCCTCCGCAGCCGTAATATGCACTATGTAACAACAATATTTGGGGAAATATATCAAATGCAGCTCAGAAATACCTTTGCTAAATTTTATCGAGATCAGTTCCGATTTGGATATAGCTCCCATATATAACTTCGTCCGATTTTCCTTTTATTGTGCACCAAACGTGTAATATCAACGCGAATAGTATGGAATATTGCACATACAACCAAATTATGCCCGAAAATAAGTATGCCAAATTTAATCGAAATCGGTTCAGATATAGCTATAGCTTTCATTCGATTTGTTGTATTTGTTACCCACAGCCGTAATATGCACTCCGTAACAAAGATATTCAGGGAAATATATCAAATACAGCTCAGAAATACCTTTGCCAAATTTTATCGAGATTGGTTCGGCAAGTCCGAATTTAAAAGATACAAATGCTTCGGCATATTTAGTCCTTTGAACTTTAAATTACAACTGGAATCATAGCGTGTATGATTGAATTCTACCAAAAAAAAAACTTTTAATTGTTATGTGGAGCTCAACTAAATTAGCAAAGTGGTGTAGGGTATCATAAAGACGGCCCCGCCCGACTTTAGGACTTTCTTTACTGTTTTTTTTTTTTTTTTTTGAAAATTTCCAAATTTGTTCCAAATGATGGAGGTCATTTTTGAACGTTTTTTTTAATTTCTAAAATTTTTCCAAATGTTTGAGGGTATTCAAAGTTCGGCCCAGCCTAACTTACTGTTTTTTTTTTTAATTGTTTTTCTTTGCAACATACCATCCCAAAATGATTCCATTAATTATGTAATACCCACATGTTAATCAAACATTCCGTTATTATTGCAACTTACCAATTTTCTGGATATTGTTTGGCGGGAGTTGAGAAGATTATTCCGTTTGACCAACAATCTGCATGGCCTTTTCTTCCAATTGTTACCGTTGTTGTAGTTGTTGTTAAAGGCAGTATCTGAATTGTTTAATTGCTGTTGTTATTCATTTTATTGTTTAACGGACCTTGCTTTTGTTCCATTCAATTTCTTTTCATCCTCGAAATGAATGAATAAAATGAAATAAAACAAGGAGAGGAGTGAGCTAAGGAAATTAAATCTCCCCTCTCTGCTAGAAAAAAGGCATTTTGCTTGAGGCGCCTGTCGAAAGAATAGCAGACAAAGCGTTGCCTTAAAGTTGCCCGTTCAAGCCGCGCCGATCGATGTCAGTCTGTAAGCAAAACGAAAAGGGAAACATCAGCAAATGCGCAGCTACAAAATAAGTTGGTTAATTGAGAACAGAAAATCGCAATCACTTCATTTTGACTTGAAAAAGAACGTGAATGGATAGATGATACAAATATAAATAAAATGGAGGAATAGTGTGTTGTATGCAGGTGTGTGCAAACTGGGATAACTCATTTATTTATTTCGGACAATGTTTTCCTTGTTTTTAACGATGTTGACCCTGTTTTCCAGTTACGTCATGACTGAGGAGGCAAACGGGTTGCTGAATGTGTGGTAAAGGATTATGAAAAAGGATTGCTGTATTAATATTTTTTAATACGCCACGATAAAATTGTACAAAGAATCTAATCGATCTCAAAATTTGAATTGATCTAAATACATCGAAAGAGATTGCCACAGCGACAATAGGACGATATTGGATGTTGAAACTGGTAATCTATAATCAATCTTTATTACATGGCGTGAAATGAGTATATAAAATATGGCATTATTTTATATTTGAAAATATGAAAATTCAAAATCAAATGAAATATGCAACCAAATTGGATCGTATGTAATGTAAATCTTCTTCTCCGAATATCCTAAAGTTGGGAAACTAATAAATTTAGAGTTATATCTATTCACCTTAACAACACAGTTTTAATAAAAATATATTACATTAAAGAAGACTAAAACAAGAGGTTAGAGAGTTTCAGTCGGTGCTCCGAAAAATATATAGGCTCAGTATGTATACTTTTTTCAGGGGATGTACCAAAAAGGGCCTACATTAAGATATGTAGATACACAAAAAAATTAAACAAAGTCAAAAGGCACAATTTTTACTTAAAAAAAAAAAAAAAATTGTTGAATGAAAGCAAAAAAAAAAAAAAAAATTGTTGAATGAAAGCAAAAAAATTCGGAAACAGCATCAAATTTAAGAATAAATTTAGATTTGTTCGAATTGGTCACCTTTGGCTCGAATTATGACCTTCAAACGGCCAATGAAACCGTCACACGCTGCCCGAAGGTTTCTCTCCGGTAATTGAGCCCATTCCTGGCGAAGCGTTTGCCTGGGGCGATCGACACTTTGGTATTTTTTTTGTGCCAACCTTGCTTTCCAAAATTCTCTAGACACAATAGTCCAACGGATTGGTATCCGGAGATTTTGGTGGTCATTGTGCGCTGCAAATGAAGCGAGGAACCTCATTTTGTAACCATTCTTGGGTGGCGCGTGCTGAGTGCGAGGGTGCTGAGTCCTGTTGGAGTGTCCAAGGTTTGTGGCCAAAATATTTGCGGCCCACACCATCATCATGGCCGGCGCTTGAGTTCTGGTGGCCAACCGAAGGTACACATTTTCAGCTGACCTCTTTGGCAAACAAACTGCTGGACAACGAATGTTTATTCATCGGAGAAAATCAAATTGGGCAGTTCACCACTTTCAGCCAAACGTAGCAAATCTTTAGCTCTTTTGAGTCTATTTTCTTGCTGTTGCGGTGTAAGTTCTTGCACTTTTTGCAATTTCAATGGCGTTACCCCGAGCACTTTTTTCAATATTTGCCGAATGAAATATTGCGATATGTTCAGCTCACAAGTCATTTTCGGCCCAAAAAAATATTGTACTCCACAGAAAGAGAAAGGATAATCCGATTTTGCTCCAACTCTGCAAATCCAAATACTTGCATCAGTGCTAGGTCAGGTACGAAAATGAAAAATATCCTTCAAGTAGCTCTCTCACAAATGGTCAAAATTTTGAATTTACATGAAGCTCATAAAAAGCGAAATTAAAATCTATTCAAACGTGACATATCGAAATATTTCCATCAAAACAAGATCTAGAGTTCAGGATGGTAGAGATCTGGTAGATTCTGGTACCTCCCCCACAAAGCGTAAAAATTTTGAATAACTAAACGATTATAAAATCCGAAAAAAAAAACATCTGGTTCTCTTTAAATTTCGCACATCCCATTATTTCTACTAACAAAAAATCTGCTGTGAAGTTGGGATATATCGGCGCACTCCTTCTTATACCTCCCCCACAAAAGGTCAACATTTCAACATTGCAATAATTTACCCTGTAGAATCAGGTATGAACTTCCAATTTTGTGAAAACTTTTCAAATCCTATGAATACACTCCGACATTTGCAAAAAATTTCGAAATTTTTCAAAAAAAAAAAAAAAAAAAAAAAAAAATAATAATAATAATAATAATAATAATAATAATAATAATAATAATAATAATAATAATAATAATAATAATAATAACAACAATAATAATAACAACAATAATAATAACAACAATAATAATAATAATAATAATAATAATAATAGTAATAATAATAATATTAATAATAATAATAATAATAATAATAATAATAATAATAATAATAATAATAATAATAATAATAATAATAATAATAATAATAATAATAATAATAATAATAATAATAATAATAATAATATTAATAATAAATAAATAAATAAATAAATAAATAAAATAAAATAAAAATAGAATGCAATGGAACCCTTCAAAAATTTGGTTAAAGTTGTGAAAATATCGACGTGGACTCATTTCTAAGTGCGAATATGAAATTTGAAACAGATCCGGAGAATTATGTTACTAAAATCATAAAAATACTGGTAGTACCTTTATATGGGGGCTATAGCTAAACCTTGTCCTATATAACCCATTTTCAATACCAAAATTCCTACTGACGAATCACACATTTGTGTTAAATTTTATCAAGCTACTTCAATTCGTTCGGAAACTAGAGTGATTTCCACCGACGGACGGCCACCGTTAAATCGACATCGAATTTTATGCTTATCAAGAATATATATACTTTGTGTGGTCTAAAATTTATATTTCGAGGTGTTACAAATGGAATGACAAACTTAATATACCCTTCATGACATGGTGGAGGGTATAAACATGGTATATTCCTGCTGTACCCTGTTGATTATTTTTCCTAAATTACATTATGAATATGCCTCCCTCAGCGCATGAAAATTTATGCTTTTGACCCGGCCTATAGACACTCAAATCACAAGTGTTTAACATCTACTTAATAATCCTTTAAATTTCAGTCTATTTATCGAAGAAAATTGCCGCATACGAAGGGTGGGTGGCTGGCTGGGTATGGGTAATGCATGCAGGAATGCTTGAAGTCTCGAAACAAGTGGGTCAATTGTTATATTGCCACGTAAATCGTTGCTGGTGCGACATAAACACGCACTACCAGCCCCGTCCCGACCCACCATAACTGCCAGAGCTCTTTGGAAGGACGGACATAGCTGTGGGCATTTCATTGCATCGGTTGGCATTGCAGCTAACAAGGCGCACGACAATGGTTGGCAAACTGTATTTGGGTGGTTATGTGCGTGTGTGTTTGTGGTACCACCACCCAGCAAATGAGAGAACACTTGCCGAGGAAATTTTCCTACGCATTGCTTTGCCTTTGCATTGAATGAAAGAGAAATTACAGAGAAATTCTTGCTGACGTTTTCAGGCTTCCAGCAATAAATCCTTTAAAATAATCAAATACATATTACATACCTACATACGTTTGTATGTATATATGGATTTGTGTATGTATTTGTATATCGGTTCAATATTTGGTTGGTTGCATGTGTGTTTGGTCCTATTAATGCAAATTGTGTAGACGGGAGGGTGGTGGTGTTGGCGCTCGCTCTCTCACATGTCCTTGTACGGATTCCTGCTTATGCTTGCAAATACTACTAATACATATACATGTACATTTAAATATTTTCCAAGTTATTGGTAGGCAAATACAGTGCGGCATGCAATGCCAACTGCTTCTGTTCAAAATGAAATAGAAGAAAGGATTTTATTTTGATTGCCGGTTCGGATTTGATGAGATTCCATTGAATATTGTTCAAACTGATTAAAATCCATTATGAGGTGCTCGAAGAGCTTTCCATTCCATTCAACACAACGTTCGGCAATGAATTATCTTGAAATTGCAGGTTCGAAACAACAGTAGGGTATGTTTACAAAGAAATTGATTTGGGGGTTTTACATCTGGCCAATAAAACCGATTATTGAATAATATTATAATACTGAAGAATAAACACGTGATATGGCAGGCCGGAACTTAAAAGGACAAGACTACATTAACAGTGGAGTGTTTAGTACAATAGAACTATTTATACCCTTAGCCATAAGGCTAGAGAAGGTATATATTATTTATGATATGGCCAAAACTTGCTTCATAGAAATAACGGTTTTAGACCGTAGGTCTCGGATCAGTAGATCTAGGGATGTCCGTCCATCTGTCTGTCTGTCTCTCTGGCTGGTGCGCACGATAACTCTCCAATATTTTACTAATATTTTTATCAAACTTAGATCGAGTTCGGAGATGGGCAACATCGATCCACTCCTTCTGGAAAGACCCACAAATGTGGACATTTTGAAAAAAATATTTTATGCACCAGAAAAACACAGGATCATCTGCTTTTGCTCCAACTTTGCAAATCTTAATATTTAGATCAGTTCTAGATCAGGTGCGACAGTATCGGGCCACCCAACGAAGTAGCTTCCCCACAAAGGGCAAATTTTTGAATAATTATAACTGTTATAAAAAGTATAGTAAGAGTCCGATTTTCTTCAAACCAAACACATTGCAATATTTTTACCATCAAAAGATCTGGTGTGAAAATGGGATTTATCAATCCACTCATTCTGCCACATTCAGCCCCCCTCCCCCCAAAAGGTTAAACATTTTGAAAAAAAAAAAAAAAATTTGAGGTAGATCTAGTGGGAAGATGGGGTACATAGGACCACTTCTTCTGGTACGGCCCCACAACGGGTCAAAATTTTGAATCAGGAAAACGAACATAAAGTGCGAAAAAAGCATCCGATTCTGTTTACATTTGACACTTCCCATTATTTCTAATAACACAAGATCTGCTGTGAAGACCAACTCCTTCAACCCCCCCCCCACTCCTTCTGCTACTTCTCCCGCAAATGGTTTACACATTTTTGT